TTCGAAATGTTCATTGAACAATTCATTCATTTAAAAAGAAGCAAGTTGAGTAAAACGAAATCAGTTTACGTCGATATATCGCTGTGGTAGGAAGCAAAATATTATGATTAAAGACGTGTGCTGGTGTGAAAAGAAAAAATCAAACATGAGTCTCAAAGAAGAATTGAACGTGTGCGGTGCGGGCAAAGCGTTCTTGCCCATAATTAAAATCGATTAACTGAACATCGGAGAAGAATATAAAATCAGCAGTTTAAAGTGGGTGACTACTTGATTTGGCAAAGCCCTAGTAGCAGAACTTGTTGATAAGCAGGTATTTTTACCAAAACGTTTTGCAACCAATTTAAAAGACGTGAGCTCTGAAGAATTCCAAAAGCTTGTAGAAGGAGGAGTCAAGCTAATATTCAAAGGCTTCAAGAGTTTTGGGGCGCACGTTGGAGCTGAAGTTTGCTTCGCATAATGGACGACGATATGTTAACCACTGTAATACAACGCTTTAATAACTGCTTAAACCGAGAAGACTACTCTCAATTGCTTAAATCAAATCTAAAAATATAAAACATTTACGCAGCAAAATTTAAAAAATTAAATTAAATCGAAATGGAAACTTAGCTAAAAATGTAGGAGCTTACGAAAGATTGAAGGAACACTAACAAAATTTTGTTACTATAACCGAAAACTAAAAAACTTTTGCAATCAACAAGTGCGAATGCATAATTATATCGAAAATCAAGAAACGTGCAAGGTGGAAGTTATCGTCATACAACAAAAACTAGGTTTCGGCCAAGCAAAATTCTAATAACGATCAAATCGCGATCAAATTACAAACGACGCATATTTGCACAACATGCTTGAATCATTTTTCATCTGAAGATTTAAATCAGCACAAAGTTGATTGCAGTTGTCAGTAGAAGTTCCTAAAGGTTTCGGCCAAGAATTCTAGTTCGGTTTCACCCAAAAATTGGCCGAAACTATCGGCCGCATCGAAACTCATTGTTCGTGATATTTATTTTAGTTTTATTTTAAAGGGAGGTTTGAAGAGGTTTGAACCAAACCAACCAAATATATGTTTTAAAAATTCCCAGAACCAAAAACTTTAAACACTTTATTGCTTCATACTATTGGAAATGGTTTTATTGCACCATTTTTGAAAAATTTTAAGTTAAAAATTATAGCTTGAATTGTTATATCTTAAAATTCCCATCACTTCCGAATATTCTTCCAAATGACAACCAAATGTTCCAAAGAAAGAAAAGACGTTCAGTTCTACCCAAGAGTTGATAAGGTACAGATCAAGAGTTTCAAAAGTACAGTTTTTCATTTCAAGACGGTAAGTTCGAAGTTCATTAACAGTTTGTGCAGAGTGTTATTCAATTTGCACTCCTGTATTCCCATTTTTACATTTTTAACCATTAAATTAGGATACAGATAAAAAATGTCACGAAAAGAAAAAAATCATTTTCATTGGAAAGTCCCGAACCCAGAAAACAAACTAAGTAAAGTAACACTTATAAAGCAACACTTATTTAAATATCACGGCGCGGAACACTGCAAAATATTAAAACGACTGTCAGAAATAGAACATTTAAAAAATGAAGCTAAATTATCGAGTACAGATCAACCGAAACTTATTCAGCCGCCGATCCTGAATTTGACCTATAAACTTGTACAATGGTGGGATGATCATGAAGTTACTAAGAGAATTGACAAAGCAATAATGGACCTTATGATTGTGGATATGCTGCCTTATACTTTGGTGGAAAGCGAAGCATTTTGGCGACTCAATTTTACCGATTCAAATATCGCGAATATCGGGTGAAATCTGAGAAATATTTTCGAACATCGCTAATGCCGAAAACATACGATGCAGTTACATCTAAAGTAAAAACTTTAATTGCAAATAGCGAGTAGGTCAGTGCTACCACTGCTATCTGGACCAATGTTAGTAAAACTTGTTCACTTCTGAACTTTACCGCTCATTTTATTGTAAATGATCAACGCCTTAAAGTTATTTTAGGCGCATGCGTACTAGAACAAGATCACACCAGTCAATACATTGAGCATAAATTAACAGAGATGGTAAATGAATGGAATTTAAAGGGCAAGATTTTTCTGGTCCTACGTGGCAATGCAGCAAGCATGGTTTGCGCAATGCGTGAACATTATGAATCAATAGGTTGTGTGGCACACACACTGCAATTGGTCATAAAATGAGCTTTATTTTCGGACGAAGTAACGAAGGACTTGTTGAAAAAATGCAGAAAATTCATAGGCCATTTTCACCACAGTGAGCCAGCAACGAGAAAATTGTTTGAGTGTCAAAAACAATGTGGACTCCAAGAACATGCTTTGGTGTAAGATGTTGATGAGAGGTGGAACAGCACGTATTTGATGTTGCGAAGACTTTTAGAGCAAAAGAATGCCGTCAACTTATGCAGTGTTGAACATGGTAAGATTGATGCTCTTTTCGCTAATGAATGGGATTTGATAAAGAGCATTACCGCGGTTTTAAAATTATTTTATTTTTTTATTTTTAACATTAGATTTATCATTTGGTGATGCGTCCCTATAAATAGTGATACCATTGATATCATTATTAAATCGAACATTACAAGCGCGATGAGAAAACGATGATGAAATGATGACAAGCATGAAGAACGCACTGCACGAGCATTTGAATGTCAGATTTTCTTTTTTAAAAAGTCATCCTTTGTTGCTGGTTGATACAATACTAGATGCAAAATTCAAATCGAAGTATCTCAATTCCCTGGAAGTGGATCACGCGACAGCAGAAATCATATGTTTTTTGACAGAGCATAACAACAACGACTTGGTACTGAACCGTGACAAAATTAATGTTCTCTCAGTTTCTGGATTAATCCTGCAGGGCTTTAACATTCCTATGGATAAAGAGAGTCTGTGGGATATACACGATGATTCTTCTATCAAGGTGGAGACAACTGGACCTGAAGATGAAAGGACCATTTTGAAACAAAATATTCAATCTTATGTAGGATTGAACGGCTAATATTCGAGAGCCTTTCAGACGAAAGAGCACACTTCAAGTGTATTAGGGCTATAAAGACGACAAACGCCCTTTTTGAACCAGTCATCATTAAGAAGTTTTAGACGTCGGGTGTGCGGGAGTTGTTCTAAGATTTTACTGACATTATTTTGTATAATTTTGATATTTTTGCCAATTTTACTATTCTTCATATTCATATTCATTAAATTATTATCATCTAACTGCCAAAAGTCCATTTTATAATTATTTGTATTAACATTCCTACAAACTTCGCCCGCATGACGACGCATGGCATGTGGCCAGTCCTAAGCCTGGATAAAGAAGGAAGGTTCCAAGACCCGGCTAGCAACCGATCTTGGGGAAAAACGAATTAATGCTCACAGAATTTAAGATGGAGGAGGTGCCAACTAATGTGAACGTTCTTGACATGTCAAAGCATGAAACCACACTGATTTTAAAACATTTATTTAAGCTTATTAAATAAAAATTTTACACATAAATGTCCACAATTAAATAAATTTCCACCTTGAAAATTATCATCATTGTATTGTATAAAACACTTAGAAAAGTACTTTTTCACCTCTAAAGGTGGTTGAAGATTTCCATAACTATCGAAATATTCTACATTTTTGTTATGCTTTATATATGAAACCCAATGCGTACCCGCCCCTTTACTTGTATCGAGATTTATAATTCCCAATTCATTTTTATGTGGACTTGCTGGTAGAGAATTTCTCATAAATACCCCTCTAAAATGTTTTAAATTTCTACAGTATTCCTCCAAATCATAATTGGTTAATGCTCTTTGAGGCAATTTACTGATGTTGAATTGCTTTTTCTTTGTTTGTGCTGGTATTTGTTTTTCCCTAAAAAAATACCCAACCCTTTGCGATATGGTTTCAGATATAGTCCTTTCCCATTGCGAAGCGCAATTGCCTCCATTGTTTGATTATGACGCAAAGCCTCCTGCAATTTTTTCTTTGCATCGGCAGATTCATTTACTGCTTTTGCTACACCCGCTGCGCCACCAACAAGTGTTCCAATGGCACTTAGCCCTGCAAAGAGTGGGATTAATGGTAAAACTCCGCCCGTTTTAGGAATTGGAAGAACTCTTGGTTTATTAACTTTGCGTTTTCCTCCGATGCTTCCAACAGCCATTTTTGCTGCAGCTAATGCAACGCTAGTACCTTCTTTAATTATATGGCTAGCATCTTTTGCATTCATTGTTGATTTAAACTTCTTTTTGCTGATTCCCTGAATAGCTAACTTTGCTTTTTTTATAATGGTTCGCGCTGCAACTCTCTTTAAATTTTTCTTTGCTTTCTTTGCAAAGCAGTGATAAGGCCAATAATGACATACACCTCGGAAACACGAGCAGACACCTCAAAAATCAAGAGCTTGATGGAGACATCGGAAATGCGCACGCTAAGAACAATAGAAGGTACAACTCTCAGGGACAGAATACCAAGTAAGCAGATTAGAGAGAGGTGCGAAGGAAAGGAAATCAATGAGTGGATACAACACAGAAAGTCAGAATGGAACAATCACATCAGTAGGATGGAGACCACAAGAATAGTCAGAGTAGCACGCGACAAATCGCCACAAGGGCGCAGGTCGCTGGGAAGACCTAGAAAAAGATGGTCAGATGTAATACAATGAAGAAAAACAGGCTATTGCCTACATAAGAGAAGAAGAAGAAGAAGAACATTCCTACAAAATCTGGGGGCTCAACCTAAGGACTTGCTACAAAATCTCGAGGCTGAACTTAAGGACTTGCTACAAAATCTGGAGGTTCAACCGAAGGACTTTCTATGAACATTGAGTGTGTGAGTGAACATAGACGATAATGACAATAAACACTGACGCGCCGTTTCACATCGGCCGTGTGAGCGTAACGAAGACGTAAAGAAGCCAAAAGTTGCGGCCGTGAGCAAAAAGTGAGCAAATTTAGACGATATTAAAAGTGCAAGCTCAAAAGATGGAGATCAACTGTTTACACGACAATCCGCGTGCCGCGAAACAGATTGATAATGCACCCGCGAGTTCACTAAGATTAATGCATGAAGTAATATTTGATGTTGTTGCGCCGCGAATGAAACATAAATTTGTACGCACTTTTTCGGGTTTTGGTTTCACCAAAAACTCAAAAAAGTATGAACATTTAGGAAGGAGAATTTACGAGAAATTCTCAGTAAAGCAGTTAACAACCGCGTGCAATATGTTAGATATTGACGACAGTGGTAAGAAAGACGAGATGTGGGATCGCGTGTGTGAAGTGCTCAGAGACTTGAACAACTTAAAGAAGCACCAGCTACCCGACGATGATTCAAACGACGAGGACGACGACGGCGATGAAGAAGACGACTACGACGACGACGGCGATGAAGAAGACGACTACGACGACGACGGCGATGAAGAAGACGACTACGACGACGACGGCGATGAAGAAGACGACTACGACGACGACGGCGATGAAGACGACTACGACGACGACGAAGACGACAACGACGACGACGACGACGACGACGAGAACGACAACGACGTGAATTTACAACACTTAAGACGAAAAATGCTTCATTCTTGTGATCGAAAAAATTTGGATAACCGTGCTAAAGTTAAAGACGACGAAATACCAAGAGGAAGCCAAAGGCGTAAGAAGTGCAGCTCCCAACTCTGCAAGGAGAAGAAGAAATCGAGAAGACGATACGAGGACGAGGATGAATTCTAACCACGAGCATCCACATCGAATTCAAAAATTACATTATCCTTTCGAGACGTTGAGGATATGTTTAGACCGTTTACGGGCGAAGACGCGTATGGTATTGAGACATGGACCGAAGAGTACGATGAAATTGTGATCATGTTAAATCTCAATGCTTTACAAAAGCTTATTTGTGCGAAAAAAATGCTTAAAAGGTCTAGCTAAGAAGTTGGTCCAGAGTGAAATTGGACTAAACAATTGGCGAAATTGATTAAGACGCATTAAAAGATGAATTTGGCGACCAATTAAGTGATGCAGATGTACACAAGAATATGATGAGCCGCAAAATACAGAAAGGAGAATCAGTCTAAGAGTATTTGATTGTGATGAAGGAAATGGGGTATAAGGGAAACCTAGATAAGCCGACAATATCTTGGTTTAAAGAAAGAGCGATTCTGTCAACAACTAACGAACCAGTAGATGAAGCAAATATCTTGATTCTTTCAAAAATTGATGCGCTGACGAAAGTATACTACTCGGTTGATACTGTTCTCGATTTGGAAGAAGCTGTTCATTTTCCCACAGAATTTCTAAACTCTTTGAACTCGTCTGGACTCCTTCCTCACAAAATGGTGTTGAAAGTAGGTTGCCCTGTTATTTTATTAAGAAACCTGAATCCACCTAAACTTTGCAATGGCACGCGTTTGCTGGTAAAATCATTGAAAACTTTCATAATATCGTAGAGTGCACAATACTCAGAGGCTGTGGTACCGGAGAAGATGTATTGATACCCCGAATACCTCTGATACCATCGGATTTACCCTTCCAATTTAAACGTTTACAGTTTTCGGTAAAGACATCTTTTGCAATGACCATTAATGAATCACAGGGCCAAACCTTCAACGTTGCAGGCTCAGATTGGAGCGTTGACTGTTTTTCACAGGGACAACTGTATGTCGCTCTTTCAAGAGTGACCTCCAGAGAAAACATGTTTGTATTGTCTAATGACAAGAAAGCTGGGAACGTTGTTTATAAACATTCAGTAATATGTTGTAAAAATAAAATAAATAGTTAAAAATATTAATATTAAAAAATGATCTATTGTTCGATCATGTAAATCAGCATTTTCGTTGTTTTGCTCACATTTTGAACCTTGGAGTTCGATATTTTAAAAATGTTGAAAGTGGATTTTGAATCCGAAAGTATTATTCCGGACATCGAAGTAGACGATACAGATGATGACGATTTAAGTGAAAATGAATGGACTAGAGTAATGATTTTAGTCCATCATCTACTAGTGTCAGCATTTATTAAAATAAGAAAATCTGAGCAGTTACAAAAATAAATTAATCGACTTTTTGTAAAATACTTAACAACAAGATATATTAAAACCTATTTTTAGATATTAAAAGACTAGATGGAACAGTACTCATGACATGATTGAAGTCAGTATTAATTTAAAAATAGTTTAAATATATTTTGGCTCAGTGAGGAAAATAATAAAAGTATAGCAATGTTAAAACTAAGTGAAAATGAATGGGTCTTGCTTGAACAGATATACCTATTTTAAAAAAAAAATGTAAAATAGTGTCAAACGCTATTTGTGGGGAAAAGCACTACAAAAAAAACCAATTGGGTTTATTGTTTGAGTTTAATTTTAGATCCTCGACACAAAATTGAATGGTTTGATAAAACTAATTGGGGAAAAGAATTAAAACATGCAGCTATCCAATGTTTCGAACTATTTTATAGGGAATATGCGAAGAAAACACCCTCGAGCAACCTATTGACACGATAATTAAAAGAAATACTGTTGGAAATATATTTAGTTCCAACAGACATACAGTACTTGCAAGTACAGTACTCGTGCATTTGTATACCTGACCCTTCCCCTTCCATAGTTCCTTGAACCCCTAATATTGTTTTTCTGTTACAGGCGTATGTCGATGTCAACGAGTAGAGTCAGTCGAGCTGATCCCTCTTGAAGCAAGCGGTCAACTTACTCATTGTCATAGATACTTTTGTATACTGCCTTATTGTAATATAAATAAAACTCAGATATTAAACCTAATAATTGTGTCATCAATTACTAGATTTAACAAATACCAATTCAATTAAAAAATGTTTTGACATTAATAGCCTATATAGGACATCCAATAGATCTTCGAAACATTGGAAAGCTCAGTATGAAGAGTATTTGCTGTTAGACACAGCGGATAGAACCAAAAATATTTTGGAATGATGGAAGGAACATGAGAAAGTGTTTCCTACACTTTCAATGATGGACAGGGATTTATTCAGCACAATGGCTACATCCGTTTCTGTAGAAAGGTTATTTTCTACTGCAGGTATGATTATGGCAAGTAAGCGTTCATCATTAAAAGATGATGTAATGCAAGCGTTACTCTGCTTAAATTTTTGGTCATCATACAGATTAAAAGATAAATATTGAATTGTTGAGGCACTTACACGATGAAACTCCATTATAATCGTCGAAAAAAAGGATTAACCTTAAGGGTTTCACAAAACTTTTAACACTCTGCGACATGTTTCGCCACACTGTGGCATCATCAGGCAGATGAATATTATTAGATGAATATTATTAGATCATCTGCCTGATGATGCCACAGTGTGGCGAAACATGTCGCAGAGTGTTAAAAGTTTTGTGAAACCCTTAAGGTTAATCCATCAAAAACTGATGATGCCCACAGGGCGAAACATGTAAAACTCGCATACAAAATTGTAAAATCCAAGAAAATCACAAAATTATTTTAATAAATACATTTTATAAACCATGGATTACGTATTCAACTTAGAAAATAATAAAATTTTATCCACCTATTGAGTTAGATCCCAATATCAGGTACTGCATTGGACTCATTGGTTTCCACACGTTCAACTCAATACCAAACATTGAAAAAGACATCAACGATAAATTCTATATTACGAGCGCTTCTAACAAAGATGAAAAGTGGGTAATTACAATTCCCGAAGGAGCGTATAAAATTTCCGATATTGAAGACTACTTGTATGAATTTGTTTAACTCCTGGTACACAGTAATGCTTTAAGAGAAGAGGTGTTGCGTATAAAACCAAACACAAATACGCTAAAGACTGAAATTTATAGTAAATATTTTAACGTTAATTTCAACGAAAAGTATTCACTTGCATCATTATTTGCTTTTGATTCTACAAGAGTCTTAAGCGCAGGCGATGAGTATTCTTCCGATCGTGAGGTGGACATTATAAAAGTAACCAGTGTGGCAGTTGAATGTAACATTGCAACCGGGTCTTATCGCAATAACCATCAATCTCATGTGATTTTTGATTTTGCACCAGACGTCAATCCCGGAGTTGCTATAAATAAAGAGCCGCAAAGTGTTCTCTATCTGCCAGTCATTAACAAGCCGTTCATCGATAACATTACCGTACGAATTCTAGACCAAGAAGGTAAATTACTTAATCTTCGTGGTGAAAGAAGAGTTGTGAAGCTGGAATTAAAACCATCAAATGGGTATTCATTTCAATAACTACAGTGGAGGTTCTCAAAGAAGATATAAATTTACCTCCCCTTCAGTTTCAAGAGTTTTTTCACAAATGAAAGTAATAAAAATAGTTTCAAATGGTGAAACATATAAAAATTACATAGGCTTTCGTACCGTTGAGTTTGATACTGTTATTGATAAAGGTATGTGTGTATACTTACTACAATTTTATAATAATTATTAAAAGAAAGTTATAGGGAATCTCGTACAGTCGTTGGGCGCAAATATGGGATTGAGTTGATGAAGTTCGCGAAGAAGAGTTAGCAGCATGGTGGAATGACGATGGTGAGGTGTGGAATGACTACTATTTTTGTAATTTTATCGCAGAAGAAAAAGATTTCTTCATGATACTCTGCTACAACGACTGGTTCAATTTTTATTTTCAACCGCCATCATCACCCATTGGTCACGACGATAGCGACAACGACGACGAGGACGATGGGGATGACAACGAGGGCCACGGCAACGACGACCACGAGGAGGACAACAACGATGATGACAACGACAATTACTGCATCAATGAGGATGAAATGGACCCACCTTATGTAAACATGTGCCATTCATATTTTATAATACCAAGTGGGAACCTACATGTGTGCAGTGATTGTTTTAGTGAGAATAAATCGTTAGTTGGACAAACAATTATCTCGGATCGTCGTGGGTTTAATCGCGTTAATTCGAACTATTTAAGCGAATTTATTAGTGATGAATGCCAGTGCAATATGCATTCGGAAGCCGCTTTTTACCATTAGTTATTCTTAGTTTTTTTATGTATTATGTATATATTAGATACTATTAATTATTCTTAGTTTTTTATGCATTATGTATATATATGTATTAGATACTTTAACAATTTTTATGCAATTTTATAACATTCTGCTTAGAACATTTGGCATAAGTTATAGTATGATTAAAACAATCAAAAATAAAGTTTTTTTCAAATATCACACCATCCCATTGGACATCCCATTTGATTTACATGGGCCCCACACCTTAACTCGCCATTTTTACAATACTTATAATGTAAAACGTAAATTATTAAATTTAATATTTTAAATAATTTTAAGTTGTACTACGGGGGGCGAGCCCTTTGCGGTCAATGCGCGTGAAGACAACCTTCGCACTGAGCATTTCGTGGAATTAGTATTTAAAATTATCTGAAGAAAGAAATACGCCATCGCAGCAACGGTATATTCTAGAGCAGTGGTTCCTAACCTGGGGGTAATTAACCCCGCATGGGGAAAACGGAGATTCTAGGGGGGGGGTAACACAGGATGGCATATTTCTATATTTCCAAAATCCACAACTTTCTTATCTTCAAGTATGTGGGGACTACCATCTCACCATCTGTGCCTTCTAAATTCTTCAACATCTGCATTTCATGCCATGCCCAAAAATTCCTAATATCTTACTTTTTTTACTTTGCTATTAGTTTACAGCTTTTTATTTTCCTACATTCTTGCTATCATAAACTACCCTTGA